AAGAGCATTCCATTTCACAATCTCTCTTTTCCCTCAATTTGACCTTTATCGCACACGATTCTGACTTCTATTATAGTTATTTGTGCATGTCCTATCCCTCCCTAGGGGGAAAAATTACTAGGAATTCACAAAGGGATTTCATTAACTGAAATAAGCATTTCCTAACTGAATATCATAATTCCAATCTCAGAATCTCCCCAATAGATACAAGGGGTCAGAGTAATTCAGGGGAACAGCAAAGGGTAATGAAAAAAAAAGGGAGGTGGGGTATTTTTGGTATTATGGTCCCGTCTTTAGTTGAAAGCCTAGTGTATCATCCAGTTGAGGGGTTTAGAATAGGAGCTTTTGGGTTGAATAGGAAAGGATATTATTGAAATTTTGATCAAAACATCCATAAGACATTACTGGAACTGGCATTAAGAACAGACTGGTTCTCTCTGGGCATTTTCACCTTTCAGTATCCTCAAGCTTTTCAGTCAGTGTGAAATTGGAATGTCATAGTTCTAGTCAGATACATTCACATATGTCTTATTGTAAGCTCCTTGAGGGCTGGAATTTTTCTTCTTTATAGATCTCTACCAAATATTAAAGAGGACTTTAATGTTTATTGAATTGGTTAAATACTCCTTTATATACTATTAGGCATGGAAAGGATTTAAGTCATCTATGTGCCACTTATACCTTGAAGAATTATACTGTTTATTCCAGAACATGGAGAATCAACATTTTTTTTTAAAGATCCTTCAGAAAAGTGGTCTGAGTCCTGGTATCATGTAGGATATATTTAATAAGGCTACCTTATAGCTATTCAGTATTCAGAACAGGATCTACAGATATCAGAACCAATTGCCTTTTGGTATGTCAAGTAGTGTTATCTCTCATCTGAAATTTTCTTTGAGCAGGAGCTCTTAACTTTTGGAATCTGTGTACCTACCATGGAGAAATTTCAGGGGATCCATGAACTTGGACAGGAAAAAATATCACATTTTTATTTTCTCTGATTTTTAACAAATTTAGCATTTCTTTTAATATTTAAAAATATTTTGAAGAATCCATAGGCTTCACTGGGCTACCAAATGGGTCCCTGACCAAAAAAAAAAAAAAAAAAATTAAGGACTCTGTCATTGTTTGGATCTCTCTTTTGTTCCCATCACTAATACACTTATATGTGTACACATATCCCTCCCATTAGAATATAGGGTCCTTGAGGACAGGGACCGTTGTGTACTCCCAGAACCTAGCACAGTCCCTGGCAAAAAGTAGATGTTCAGTAAACGGTGAAATGGAATTGCTTGAAATGTAAATTAAAACTGAATCCTGAGGAGGAAATATGCATAAATTTGATGTTACACACAAACTGAGGTGTTAAAGCTTGATGCTATTGAGAAACTCAAATAGTGATTTACTTTAGATCTGGTTAGCTGGGGTTTGGTAAACGTGAGGAAACCACTGAGCTCAGAGTCTATGACTTGGGGACAAAAGAGAAAGAGCATAGGAAATGACCTGAGTGTATCATTCTTTCCTAATTGAAATGAGAAGGAAAGTTGAAGCTTTAAATACAGGGCCCTCTAAAACTTGAGGGCAAGGGCAGGTGACCTAGCAAGCACTAAAAAAAAAAAAAAAAAAATAGGAAAAAATATTTCCGAAGTTGAGAAATGATCCAGATTGGGGCATTCTGCCTAGGTCACCATAAAGGTAGGAGGTCCGTGTCCCAACTTCCCACCTAAACAAAACAGTGGCAAAGCCTCACAAACTAAATTTAGTTGTTCATATGTAATAGAGACAGAGCAAGTGTTTGTTCAAAGTGATCCATCATTTGCATAAAGGCCTCTGTCTGTGGATGTTCATGGAGAGCAACACATACTAAAAATATCCCTTCTCTTTTAAACCCATGACTTTTTCCTCAGTTATGTGGACATTTTGGGCAAAAGGCATTTCTTTCTCTTTTCTACACAAATAATTACCTCAATTGTCCACTTTGCTTCAGGAACTGTGGAAGTCAACATTTGCTATTTCCTACATGAAATCTTTCCTTATTTTAGTTCCAGCCCCTGGCAGCTCCCTAGATTACCATATATATTTATTATTATTATTATCATTATGTGTGCATGTTGTATGTTTCAGTATAATGTTAGCTCTCTGAGGACAGAGGATGTTTCATTTTTGGTCTTTTGTATCCCCCAGAATTTAGTACAGTATCTTATATATAGTAGGAGTTTAATATATTCTTGTTGTTTGATTAGATAAAAACTCCAGGACACTTTTGGAATAAAGCCCTCCAATCAAAGTGGGAGGTCAGGGCTATGCAGCTTCATTCCCCTTCTCGAAGGATTGGTGCAACATCAATGTCATGGGAGTTGGCCAAAACCATATTCCCAAGTGGCTGCTTCCCCACCAGAACAGCTCATCATGCAGCCCACCTCTCTAGCTGCTGCACTACCCAAGCCAAAAAATATTTTAAATTGCTCCAGATCATTGGCCAGTTAGGAGATCAATATTTGGTGTTTATTTTTACATTTAATTTCAGAGACTTACTGCAGTTCCAACTCTTAAAACCAATATAAATCAACCCAAAGTGAATAAAAATATTCTGTGGCTTTCTAGAATGATGAAGATGTTATGCGAAGGAGAAATAGAGAAATCAGCGTGGATCAGGTTCTTCCAGATGCATTTCTGTTTTATGGCAGCTTCAAGAGAAGTGCTGTTACTTTAAAAATCAATGATCAGAGACAGCTCTTACCGGAGTACTGAGCCGCCATGGCAGTGCGAATTAAGTTTGCTTTCCTGTTGCACTATAGTGACACCTTGTGCCTGAGAAGGGAAATAATTGCTGCTTAGGTGGAAAACAGCCTCAGAGAACCCAGCCTTAGGGAGATGTAGAAAGGAGAGTGGGGTATAAAAGTTCAGACACGAGTGGCCCTTTATCCCCTTACCTTGTGCCCAGCCACATTTTGCTGGGTTTATTGCCAGCCCAGCCCGGCTTCATCTGCTCTGAACCAAAGGATCAACACCTTGGGCTGGGACAGGATGGGTTTCATTCAACAAATATTTATTAAATGCCTACCTATTCTGTGCCCGGACCCTAAAGTGTGCTCGTGGGTGTTTGTTAATAATTTTGTTATAGTTTTTTTTTTGTTTGTTTAGGCCTAGATATAGATAAACAAGGCCAAGCCACTTAAATTCCTCCCTTTTGCTCTGGTCCTCCCCTGACCAGTGGCAGCCTCTTCTAGCCCCTCAAAGCCTTCTTGTTTTCAAGCCCTGAGATAGTGGAGACTACAGATGTAGTTGGAATCAAGGATCTCTTAAAGTATTGATTTTAGTTTGAAATCAGGAAGATTTCCTGGCCCTTAAATCTATTCCTAGCTGAAATGGGCCGCTTAAAGAGGTAGTGAATTCCCCACTTATGGAGATTTTTTTAGTCAAGGCTGAATGATCACATCTGGAATAAGGTAGAATGGATTTTAGGCATGTGTTACAAGACTAAATGATTCCATAATTATATGAAGTGGAATGGAAGATGTCATCTCTTTGTAAATAAATTTCAGGCAATAGCAAACATAGGAGATTTTTTTAAAAGGGGGTAAATTGATTGATCTTATACTTATATCCAGAAAATATACTAATGAACTTTGGAGATAAGTCTACTTTAGTCTTTTAAGAGTGTGATGAAATAAAGTATCTGAGTGAAGTCTTTTGCTCTCCCTGTTGTCCAAATTCCTTTAATCCTAATCCACGTATTCTTCCTGTTAGAGCCAGATGGGATCTTAAAGGTCACTGAGGACAACTCCTTCATGTTATAGATCAGGAAACTCAGGCATAGGGTAAATGCCTTGTTGAGGGACACACAGAGAGAAGTTTCTGAGATAGGATTTGAACCTGGGGCTTCCTGATTCCTCATGCACTATCGTATTCACTATGCCAGGCTGCCTCTTAAATTGTATCAAACTTCATCCCATATAGGGGACTTCAATTTGAAATACTCTGGACTGGTCCCTACCAGATACTAAGTATGGCCACTTGGGAACGTATCAGTTTCCACTATTACCTCAGTGCTTTCAGAGCAGCAATGAGCTGTATGTTTAGGTTGGTCTCTAAGACCTCCTCAGTACTGAGTCAGCAAAGGGGAAGGGAAGAAGGAAGGATGTAACTGGCTTTCGTTATCCTTCCTGGGTTCCCTGCTGCTGGGTGGCCAGTCCGCCCAATGATAGTATAGAAAGAGGAAAAGGGCATGGCCTCCTCCCCATACAGGAAATTCCACATTTCTCTGTGCCCTATTAACTATTTCAGGGGTGTCTTTAGTGCATAATTCTTATGTACAGTAATGCGCCCTGTCATGTCATACCTCTTCTGTATGACTCCCAGATGCCAGCAACCTTGAGCCTGTTTTCAAGTATGGCCTCTTCTCCAAGTCACTAATTGTGGCTTCAGTTTTTCCTTCCAACTCTAAAAATCTTATGACGTCTTCAGGATAGCAACATTTAGGCTCAAACAGTGGGGAGGCTACATTATAAAATCAAGTTACTAGGAAGAAAGTAGACCAGTATCTCTCTGGGGAAATGTTTACCCTGAATACTGTACCCCCAGGGAAACTAGAATCTCCCTTTAATTTAATCCAAGAAATAACTATCCAGGTTCTTTTTTTTTTCTTTCCTCTCATATAAATGACTTTTGGATAATTTACAATTCCTTAATACCTTAACCACAGAGCAAGGCAGAAAGGGAGAAGCTTCCAAGTAGCTCAAGTCTTACTAAGTACAGAATGGAACTAAAGTTTGTAAATTCTTCTTTCTAATCCTGGCTCCCAACAGAGTAAAATGTATTTATTATTCTGACTTCTATTCATTTAGCAGCTCCAGAGCTCTCAAGAACTGTTCTACTTGTCCTCCATCCCCAAAACAGTCATTAAGCGACTTCAAGGAAATCATCGTGTTCAACCTGGAAATTCATTGCTAGTTATTCCTCATAGAAGACAATGATTTGAGGTTTGACTGGGATTTAAGTAATGTAAAATGAGATCAGTTTATTGCAGAAATATGTTTACTACAAAACTTGGTCATGTGAATTTATCTGAAGCAGATAAAGTTAAAACACCTTTTTATTTCAAGAAATATTGCTTCTAGACTTTCCTGAAGCCAGAATTGTTCTATAAAAGTATCACAGATTATTATACAAGATTTAAAAACACAGTGGGTTTCCTAATGATGGGAGATCTATTTACAAATAGCATCATTCATGACCATAAATACGTTTGTTCTGTCATTCAGCCAATGACACATACATCAGATATGTAACAGCTAATTAGTTTTTAACATATTTACAAAGTCTATGATAACAACAGCTTTTTAAAATTAAAGATTTGACTAAAAGAAACTGAATCTTCAAAAAAAAAAAGGAACCTTAAAAACAAAACAGATTTTTTTTTTTGCTTTAGTTTTTGAGCTGTGTAAAACAAAACGGAAGACTAGTACGCTAAACAAAATAACAGATAGGAAACTTTTCAAAAGAGGTCGGGTATGGTGGTGAAGAAAATGAATGAGGTAATTCTTTTGTTGGCATGTGAAAATCTACAATGGGAGAATAATAGGAATTCAAGAGCATAGAGTTTCAAAGGCAATTAATTGAGTATTGTACTTTTAAAAATTTCAGTTATTTGGTGAAGCCCATAAAAATGAAAATATAACAAAATACTATGAAATTAAACTCATGGTGCATGTGTGCTCTGTGTGTGTTAAAATTAGGAAACATTCACGAGTTTATTTTATTGAACAGATTTTCTGTCATATAACCCATCTCTTAAGTCCCTTATTCATGTCAATAAAATAAACCCTTCCAAATGAAGAAAAGTCTTTTATAAGATGTCTTCAAGAATATACTCAAATTTAGACATTTTAAGGATATGATAAATGGAGGGAATAGCCAATTTTCATCCTTGGTTTTTTAAAATCTCTGAACACTCTTAGCCACCATGTCCTGCTATTCAGTTTTATCAAGTCAAAGTGAAAACATGCAATATTTTTCTGGCAAAACAGTATTAAAGCAATATACTTTTCATTTGCAATCCATCCTGTATCTCTTTCCTGTGACCCTATGGCATGACATCACAATGCGCAAAAAGTAAGGCAAGGAAAAGCATGTAAAATAATGAAGAAATGACACAGGGAATAAGGATCTCAAAGTGCAATATCATTTTACTCTAACCTGTGACATTATTCCAGTGGTTAAAAATCATTGATCAGAAACACATTATGTAGGCAGTGCGAGTATACTAAGACATTCATTGATGGTGACAACTTTTGGAAGCTATGCAACACAAATTCTTGGCATCTTGATTTAATAACTTTTCATGGTGTGTTTTTATGACCTTCAAAGGGTAATACTGTTTTAACACCCCAAAAACCTCTTTCTCTAGTTGTGGAAAATCAAGAATTAAAAAATATATATGTCTTAGTGGGTCTGTGACACAAACATACATACATGTACTAATTACAACCACAAATATGTAGCTCTAAAAAGCTTGGAATGTGTGTTGGCATGATTGCCTTCACTAGTTTGCTAATAAAATTTTAAAAAATACTGTGTATAAGGTTTACAATTAAAACTAATTAGAGGACAGTGGGGAGGAACCACTGCCTTCTAGGTTTTGCAAATTCTCCCTTGTATGATTATCCTTGGTGGTGTTCAAAATTGTCTCCATTTTGCTGGATCCAATTGGCTGATCAACATTGGATGTGTTTGCGACCCGATGAATTGATGATCCATCAGAGCTCACAGGAAGATACACCTGATCTTCAAATATATCCTCTCTCTGGTCATTGTCTTGGTGTGATTCTTTCTGATGACTGCTAATGGGCTGTAGAATGAAGCTATTTGTTGACTGCAGCTCTGTTAAACCATTGCCACTGAAATCCATTTCAAAGCTATTTAATTCTTTATCCCCCATCCATTTTTCAGTATGACGATATTTCCAGTGTTCGGAATTCCAATGACTTATCTCAGGAATATCATTATTCCATTCAAGTTTCCTCTCTTGGTTTAATGGTGTTGGATTCAAATCCAGGGTTCCCAAGTCTAGTGGTGCAATCAGCAGCCACTCTTCTGCCTCCATACTGCTTATGTCTTCATCGGACTCAGTGGAGGTCATTTCCTCTAGGACAGGTGGTATAGATGACGGGTTCAAGAACCCATGTTTTAAAGCGGATTTAGTGTCATTTGTGTTATTTTGCTCATATTGACTGTTCAGCAGTGCAAACACTCTATCTACATCCTTCAAGTAATTAGTCCAGTCAACCAGACTCAGTTTATAGTTGTATCTGTATTCATAGGAACTTTCATTTACACTGTATAAATCTTCCAGTCCTTGCCAGTTGATGTCATCGGTGAAGTTTGGCAGCTTAACCTTCCCATCCATCCCATAACTGTCCTCTGTGAAAATACAAGCAAGCTAGTGAAGACTTACATTGAAGAAAACAGTTTCAACCCATTAATACCTGCAATTTATTATTATATTTCCAAAGCACTACATTAAAAATAGATCTTTAGCAAGTCTCTCCCCAACAGAGTTGGTATGGAAGCAATAGTTTTAGTTTATGTAAGTGATTGGGCAAAAGACCCAACCTGGAAAAAAAAAGGGGGGTAGGGAGAAATCTCTGTTATTTGGAAGCATAGTGTAATGGAAAGAACACTGGATTAGAAGTGAGAATTCTCAGCTCTACTATTCTCTATTGTGAACTTGGCCAAGTCACCAAAATTTTTTATGACATGGTTTCCTAACCTTTCAAATGAATAAAATAATACCTGCCCAACCTAATAGGGTTGCTGGTAAGAGCAAATGAGCTGACTATGAAAAGTGACATGAAAAATGATAAAGTAGTCAACACAGGTAATTATTATTATTATTATTATTATAATAATTATATCTTGGAACTTTATAAGAACAAAAACCAAGCCAGAATTTAAATGAACACTTCATACCAACTACTTGAAAATACTTATTTCATCATATTTTTAACCCTAAAGATCTCTCCCTCTTTGAATGGTTATCATGGTTTATTAAAAAAAAAAATGTTTTTTTCATTCTGATTGTTCTTAGTGTTCCTCCTCCTTGCTATTGGTGTGTCACCACAGTCGACTATTTTAGTGCTGTAGATAAAAATAAACAGAAAACAAACAAACCAAAAATCTTCCACGAGAGCCAGTTAGAAAAATAGACTCAAGGCTGGTAATGCTGAGCTATCCAGAGAGTCTAGTCACTGAGTGATGTTCATCTCATTACTCTAGTCAGGTTATCAAGAAAAGAAAAAAGGAACTAAGAGTCTTTGCATCTCAATATCCCAGGCGTCATGGGCCAAATTATGGCCCAGCCCAAAACACAAGTGTTATCTATTCTCATTAGCCTTCAATGTCAACTTTGCCCCCGTCACTTCTGAGAAAACAAAGGGAAGGCAGCTGGTGCTCCTTGCTGGACTGTAAGAACAGCAATAAATTACAATAAGAATAAGAAATTATCCATTTTAACTGCAATATTGTTTATTTTTTTCTTTGATTCTTCCTTTCTATTTTTCTCTTTCCTCTCAGATTCTAATGAATATGAGAAACTAAAAAGCCAATGATTGCCTTTTGGTTTGGATCAGTTTATAGCTGAGTATTATTGAACAGCATGATGTCCTTTCTGGTAGGCCAAGTCATGGTTCTTACTCAGGAAGGTACCATTGGGGTTGGGGGATTATTTCCCTTTTTGAAGCCAATGTCAACTAAAAGAAAGAAACATTATATTGTAATGTATGAAGCAAACAAATTATAATTTTGAAAAGTGAAATTTATAGGATGAAGACATTTTTGCAAGGAATTTTAAAAAAAAGACAAATCCCATAACATCAGTAATTTCTAAGGAAGGCATTTTTTTTTTTTTGCTATGCTGGAAGTTTTGCATTGTCAGTTCATATTTATTTAGTCTATACTTCCTTTCATTTTCCCTTTCTTCTTTTTTCCTTCCTGTATTTTCTTTTGTCTTTGTCTTCTCCTGTCTTTTTCTTAGTTGGTTTTTTCTGTCTTTTTCTCTGTCAGATTCTCTTTCTCCCAATATCCCAAATCTTATTGGCAAGTAGTTTGACACAATAAATCCTTGTTGAATCATGAGAATTCATCCATATTTACTCATGCTTCTGAAGCCATTTCCCCTGTGGGATAATAATCCACAAGAGCCAAAGGTGCAAAAAAAAAAAAAAAGACTCTAAATATGGCTTCTGCAAGAAAGTTCATTATCTAGCACTGAACAGAACTGATACAGTAATGCTGTAGTTATCTGCCACAATTGAGGAATGCATTCTTGTACACAACACATTTTTCTAAAGAATCCAAGCTCAATTTTTTATGTGCCAGACCCTTTATTTTAGCTATTTCAGATGGCAATCTTTCCAAAATGTAATCTGTGCTTTCCTGCACAGATTTTGCTGAAAATCATTTAATCTTTTCTTCATTATAAACATCAGGGATTTTATTCTGCTGCATTGAGTACAGTGAGGACCTTAGGTGTTCTTAATGTGTCTCCAACGCTGTGTGCCCTGCTTTTAAGAGCTGACCTATGATTGTTATGCCTTTGTGGTAACATGATTCCTCACACTGCAGAACTCATCTAGTTGGCTTCCCCTCATTGGATCTCCTGTTCACCCCCATCACAAATGTCAATTTGTCATCTCCATTGGGGTTTCTAGCTGCTACTAACTCTGAAATAGCTCTTAATATTGCTAACTTCTTCCATCCCTCTCTTTTCTCCACTTTTTCTTTTTCTCCTTTTTCATTTTGTCTAGTTATCCTGCTTTTTTCTTCATGATTCTTGAGTTTTGTGACGTGTGGCTTGGCTTTATAGCCACTGCTGGCCAACAAGAACCTTCCTTTACTTCAATTCAACAAATTGAACAATCACAACCTTTTGGAGCTTTTCAGATATTTTCATCATTGCTAACTGCTCCAAGCATTGCTTCTTCACTGTCTGAGCTGCCTTCAATTAAAAAAATTCCTTTGAGGTTCAATGCTGGCTAGATGATTGATATTCTCACAAGAACGACCTCCAAATAACCGAAGCATTACAGTATTAAAATGTCCTCACATCTCAAAGTTCATTAACATGTAGAAACTGAACTGTTATTGGGGGCCTGCCATCATAGGAAGGTTGGATATATATAGCAAATGATGACCTTTAACCTTGAATAGCGGTGCAGACAATAGGCAACACGCTAACTGGGAATTTACAAGGTCTTGTAGCAGGTTGTATTTCCTTTACCTACTTCTATTTGAAATGATAACATTAGATTTAAAATAGATTTTTGCAATAGTTTACAGATTAAAAGTGATGAAATATCAAATGCAACCAAAAACAAACAAAAAATTTAGATGTTAGAAATAGAAGCGGTAATTGCTTATCAACCGTAAACATGAAGAATAAAACCTAAGACACAACTTTTCCACTATGACTAATGACCAGTTAGCAAATGGTTCACTTTGAATTGTGCACAAACCAATGTGAAGTGCTGTTATAAATCTAAGGAGAGATTTGGAAATGAACTCTATTTTTGACATTTGTATTTATCTACTTGTATTCAAAAGCATTATTTCTCTAAACTATTTTTCTTAGCATTGCAACAGTTTAAAGGTAAATGTCATCTTTCAATCATGGCAATTCTCCAGTGATCTCAGATGTTCCTAAATCAAAACAGCAGTATAACTGCAATGTTCAAAAGATTCCAAGCTTGAAAAACTTATTTTCCTGTCTCAACAAACATATGCACATAATTCACAAGATAAATATGTGGTCATTTAATAACTGGTTAATGTTGATGAAGGATGATAATAATGATAGTGATAAAATGGAAATTTCCTTTAATGTCTGGTCAAATGATGACACAATTTTCTGGAGCTATGTGATTGGTTAAGATTTGCACTTAATTATTAAGGACAATGTCAGTTAAAATGTATCTCTTTCTCACATTGTTTTTTTCATCTAAAGCAGGGGTTCTTAAACTAGGATTCATGAATTTGTTTTAGAATATATGTTGATAACTATATTTCAATACAATTGGTTTCCTTCGTAATTTTATGCATTTTATTTTCTGCATTTAAGACATTATTCTGAGAAGGGGATCCAGAGGTTTTCCTAGACTGCCAAAGGGGTCCATGGCACCAAAAAAGGTTAAAACACCTTCATCTAAGGCTTTGACATATATCTCACCATTGCAAATTTAAATAATAGCAATAATAATGATGATGATGATAACTGTATTAGCTAGCACTTTAAGGTTTATAATGCATTTTAAATGAAGTGGCAATCATAAGCAAAGGAACAGAAGCATAGTTTCTGAGGCTGTGACCTGCTGAGAAACACCATCTAAGAAGATAGCCTGGCACAGAGGGGTGCTATTTTGCCACAAAACATGAACTGAAGAGGCAACAGAGAGCTAAAGAGAGTGGCCCTGGCTACAAACCCAAGGGTGATACAGAAATAAAATGCTGATAATTTCAGAGATACTCATAAATATGACCATCTCTGATGCCAGCTCTGACTTTAAAGTGGAGGACAACAATGTTAATATTCTTACGCAACATGGAAAAAGATAAAACAAAAATAAAACAAAAACCAACTGACTGAATAACTACATGCCTACTTTCCCCCCAATACAGGATGGGGAGAAAGCTCTCAGTTTTAGGCAAATTTATTTGCTAAAGCACTATCTAAGCTGTGTCCTTTTTTTTTTTGTTTGTTTCTTTCCTAACCTAGGAATTCCAAGCTTGAGCTCTTATATCTTTTATCTGCATCAAATGTCAACTAAAGCAATGAATGAAAAAAGCAAAATGAATTTGTTCAACTAGGGAATCAGCCTGCTTTACCAGGGGCTTCTGCATCATTGTTGAGGATAAAAACCAAATTGCTCCCCAAAAGAAAGAAGTCATTCTTGGAAGGCTCTGGGCCTAGCAGGTCTAGCCCAATTGATTATGTTTTTCCCCCCAAGGATTTATAGCCTTTCATATATCCCTAGCTTGATTTCTGCCACTTTTTAAAGTCTTTTGCATTCTAATATTTTTCATTATTAGAAATATACTCTAAAATGTTTTCGAGATTAAAGTCTGAAAGAATCATGATTACTTAACACTTCTTGTTCCATATGTACCTATCCAATAGGAGGAATGTTTACTTACACCTCCATAGTGAGGAAGGAAAAGAGAAATTAATTAAAGTTGTGGGAGTGCTTTTAAGTAATTTAAAACATAAAACTGGTAATTCTCAAATCTGTTTGCTTTCATTGCAAATATTGCAAGATACCAAGCAAGATGCCATCAAACACAATATTTTAGTGTCCAACAAATTATCTCAAGGAATTAGGCAAATGCTCTACCTGACTATCTCTCTGATGACTCTGCACTCCCTAGAA